AATATTATGCAGCCATTAGAAATGACAAAATAATAGCATTTACCGGGAAATGGATGGAGTTAGAAGGAATCATGTTGAGCGAGGTAAGCCAAGAACGAAGAGACAAACGGTACATGGTCTCCCTGATAAGTGGATGCTAAATCCAAAATGTTAGGTGATACGACAAAATTAACAGGACTTAAGAAACAAAGAACTCCCACTCATCTGGTTGAACCACTACTAAATATCCCCATGCTACTGATCACATGTATGGTGTATATGTGTACACCGTTATATGTTATAGACCGTGATAGACAATTTGCTCCAGGAAAGGTAGAATGAACTTGTGACTTTAAATGAGCATCATTATTCCATAATACTGTGAAATTTGGGAAATTATGTAATCACTTAATCACAATTTAAAAAAAAAGAACCTCAGGGAAGGTAGGGAGGGAAGGGATGGTAGGGGGAAAACAATGGAGGGGTAACAATGCTCAATAGGAAGTGTACTCATTACCTTACTCATGTAACTGTAACCCTCTGTATAGTATCTTTACAATAAAAAAATTAAAAAAAAAAAAGAAAAGCGGAAGTGACACTATGACTCAAAAGTAGAATGCTAGCCTTAAGCTGAAAAGCTCAAGGACAGCATCCTAGGCTCTGAGTTCAAGCCCCAGGACAGCAAAAAAGAAAAAAAGGGAAGGAAGTCAGTATTAGCAGTGGTTCCTGTTAATGATGAGATTAAATGGGATTTAATTTCTTTGTGGTTTATAAAATTTTTTTAAATGTTCATAGTGAACATGAATTACTTCTGGCAAAGGGAAAGGTCGTGTGCACAAGGACTGCTTTTCTGTGCTACCATAAGGACTCTGCTATACACAACTTAGACGTTCTCACAGCTTCCTTCAGAAGAGGGCAAGAGCAGCAGTGTGAGCCTACCCGCTGTTTTTTCCAATTCTAAAAGCGCTGGCATCCCCTGCCCATTGCAGGATACCTCCAGAAGCAGCCCTACTTTGGAGCAGTGGTTGGGAGAGTGGCCAACCGAATTGCTAAAGGAGCATTCACCTTGGATGGAAAGGAATATCGCCTGGCCATTAACAGAGAGCCCAACAGTCTGCACGGAGGACTCAGAGGGTTTGACAAGGTGAGTGGAGGCATCGGACAGAGTCCACAGACTTGCCAAAGTACCTTCAAACATGTCTGTTTGCTAGGCACAATCCTAGGCTGTGGAACACATCCCAGGTAGGGTGAACCAGGAAAGAGGCTTCTCCCACCTTCAGGGAGGTAGACTTTGATGACATCTATTCCCATGGTTTGTTTTCATTTTTGTTTTTGTGCTGGTACTGGGACTTGAACTCAGGGCCAAGGTGCTCTATCATAGCTTTTTCACTCAAAGCTGGCATTCTACCACTTGTACCATTACTCTACTTTTTTTTTTACTATAAGCTTTTTGCTTAATTAAAGATAAGAATCTCACAGGGGCTGAGGATGGGGCTTAGTGGTAGAGTGCTTTCCTAGCATGCATGAAGCCCAGGGTTCAATTCCTCAGTATCACATAAACAGAAAAGGCCAGAAGTGGCACTGTGGCTCAGATGGTAGAGTGCTAGCTCTAAGCAAAAGAAGCTCAGGGACAGTACCCAGGCCCTGAATTCAAGACCCAGGACTGGCAAAAAAGAAAGAAAGAAAAAAATCTCACAGAGTTTACTGCCCAGATGGGCTTCAAACTGCTATTCTCACATCTCAGCCTTCTCAGTAGCTGGGATTACAGGCATGTGCTACTGTTTGTCCCATGGTTTTCTAACTCATCTACTAGTATAGGCAGAGAAGCCTTGAATGAAAGAATGATCATCCCTGACTTAGAAAAGACAGGGAGCCTAGAGCCGGTGGCTCACACCTATAATCCTAACTACTCAGGAGGCTGAAATCTGAGGATCACAGTTCAAAGCCAGCCCTGGAAGGAAAGTCCGTGAGACACTTATCTCCAATAAACCAGTAGAAACTGGAAGTGGCGTTGTGGCTCAAGTAGTAAAGTGCTCGCCTTGAGCTGAAGAGCACAGGGACAGCGCCCAAGCCCAGAGTTCAAGCCCCATGACCAACCAAAAAAAAAAAAAAAAAGGTTGAGATTAGGAAGTTGAAGAAGTGTGCACTTAGGATCATTCCTACCAATGACACCAGAAATATTCACATATATCCTCTCTTATCCTTACTAGAGGCATGCATTAGCAACAAATGAGCAATCTAAGGTTCTACAAAGGCCACACATTTCTGAAGTGGGACAGCCAGGCCAGCTTGGCCCTAAACCCATCCCTATACTGTAATTGCTATTGCCCTCCAAGGCTGCGTGGGTGCCCCTGATTGTTGGAACCCAGAACCCATTACAAACCTCTTCCCATGCAGCCTGGCACCACGCCCAGGCCTACCCTTCCACTGCCATGCCTTGTACCTCAGGTTCTTCCCAGTTCCCCCTTCCTAAATACACGCTTCCATTACTTCCACTTTCTGTAGATCATCAGGCCAAGAAAGCAAATGGATCAAATCTGTCTTCTGGCTGAGATCAGAAGCCTGGCCTCCTGCCTCCAGACCCCTCAGGAGTCTGTATTAACCCAAGGGCACAACTAACTACATTTCAAGCTGTGAGGGAGAAAACATCAGAGATAACTTTCCTATAAGTTCTAGCACTACCTGATTAGCTAGATTAGAGCTACCAGAGGCAGGAACTTGTGGGCAGGGCCACAGTTTCTTCTTTTCAGTCTGTGGCCACTTCTCCCGTGGAAGGCAGATGGATGTTCTGTTTTCTGCTCACCAGACTATCCTGTCAGTTCCTCTTCCTCAGTGAGGAACTCCTCGCACCATGGAAAGCAAAAGGCAGAGGAAGTATCCTGGCTGCCTGTTATTAGATTGAAGAATCTCTAGAACATGCCATGAGAAAACCTCAGCCTGAGCAATTTGGTTCTGGGTGGAGCCAACTGTCCCACTGTGGTATTTTCTGTGATCTTCTTTCCTGTGGGTTCTCTTTGTGAACACAGTGAAAAAATAAACATGTCTGTTTATTCATTATTACAATTGATTATACAGATTTGGTCACCTATGATTGCACAAGGTAATTTACCTCACAGTGCTAGAGGCCAGGAAGCCCAAGAGCATGAGGCAGGCTTCTGGTGAGAGACTGTGCTGCTTTGTAACATAGCAGAGAACAATACGAAGCAAGGGTCTCGGGTCTTCTCTTCTTCTAAAGCCATTAATACCATCCCAGGGAGGTCTCACCCTCTTGACTTTATGACCTGCCAAAAGTCCCATCTTCAAATACCATTACTATGAATTTATTAAGCTTCCAGTACATGAACTTTTGGGGGACATAATCCATACCAAGTGAGCCCCTTCTGGAAACCAGGGAGCATCATAGACTAGAAATTCCTGAGGCCCACAGTGGAGTGAGGGAGATGGACTCATACACTGGTTACTCTGACAGGTGAGCTGCACAAACATAGATGTGAACAGTGTGCCATGGGGGTATGTGTAAATAAATGAATAGCTCTGGAGAATTGCTCTGGGAGAATAGTTAACATTTTATTCCATTCATGGATATTGGAGAGAATGGCTATGCAGCAACCTAGAGACTAAACAAAACAATATTTGAATGGAAAATATTTTATTATTATGGAGGCACTAAAATTTTTTGAGTAATAAGGTATTTTTTTTTTAATTTTTAATTTTGCCAGTGTTAGAGTTTGAAGTCAGGACCTTGTGTATACCTGGCTGGTGCTCTTATCGCTTGTGTTACACCTCCAGCCAGACTTTTGCTAGTTTATTGGAGATGTAGTCCTGCAGATTTTTCTGCCTGGGCTGATTTCAAACTGCTGCCCTCTGGTATCACCCTCTTGAGTAGCTAGGATTACAGGCCTAAGCCCCTGGCTCCTAGCTTGAGTAAATAAGTTTTGATATAATAACAGCATCAGATGAACTTTGTTTTATGTTTTATTTAATCTCAACAAACAATGAATAATTTAGTTGGAGGCATGTGTTTTTCTATTTATACCACACATTGTTTGTCTGTTTGTTTTTTAAGATGAGAGTCGAGTAATCAGACAGGACTAGAAATGCTACAAGAAAATCTAGAGATGGGAAATTTCCAGAGATTTGGAAACTATATTATCAAGAAAAATCCTTCAGGGCTGGGAAGGTGGCTCAGTGGTAGAGCGCTTGCTTTGCATGCCTGAGGCCCTGGGTTCGATTCCTCAGCACCATATAAGCAGCAAAAAAAGCCGGAAGTGGCGATGTAGCTCAAGTGGTAGAGCGCTAGCCTTGAGCTGAAGAGCTGAGGGACAGTGCCCAGGCCCAGAGTTCAGGCCCCACGACTGGACCCAAAAAAAAAAAATATTAAAAAAGAAAAATCCTTCATGTGACATTTTATTTCAGATATCAAAGTCCTAAAACTTTCCATTTGGGGAACTATTTTTTCTTTTCATTTTTTAAAATTTCACATTTAAAGACATACCGTGTTAAGTATCTTTGAAGTTTAGCATTTCTAAGAGACAATTAGGGTATAAAATTAATTTTTTACTAAGCTCAGTGAAGTGTTTCAAGTGCCAGCTGCTTTCACTGTGAAGGAAGGCAGACACTCCGTTCCTGCTGGGCCAATGCAACATCCATCAGAGTAGTCTGCCAGCCGGGCTCGTAGGTCTATTCCTCTAACCCAGGACCTTTCTCTATTTAGAATGACAGTTTGGCTTCAGCTCTACTGTTGACTATGAATATCTGAGATATTGACTCAGTAGCAGAATACTTGCTGATCATTCTCAAGGACCTGGGTTCATCCCCAATGGAGAGAGAAGGGAGGGAAAGAGGAAGGGAGGGAAAAGAATATAGCAATCTGAATAAAACTTTTACTGAAACTAAGATGTGGAACAGACAGCCAGACTTGAGTTTGAATCCTAGTGCTGTCACAAATTTCGTGGATGAATTTAAACAAAAATATGTGAAAGTATAACAAGCTTCTATCCCATTCCTCCAGGGTGAGGGAAGTGGAAATAGTAAGTTAATTCCACTGAACTCAATTTGCTAGCCTACAGAATGGGGTAATAATGCCAGTTGGAGCTCTATGAAATTGTCAGTGTTCAACTTTTTGACCTATGAAGATGATCATTTCATTTGGTTCAAACAAACTTTACTGACAAGGTGATTCATGTCCAAGACCATGTGAGGACAATGAACCTACTTTAAGTCTGCTCTGAGAAAGATAAGATATTCCCTGTGAAGCTTCTAGCCAGTTGTCTCACTTGACAAACACTGATTTTCCCTTTTCTAGAAGTGTGGTCTTAGGGACTCTAGGACAAAGCTGAGAGAAGCCATTGTGAACTCAGGATTCTTACACAAAGAGGAGCTTGGAGTGTTTTTGACAAATGTTTGTGTAGGGGTTGAGGGGAATAGCTCAGTGATAGTGTGCTTGCCTACTGTATGGGTCCTGGGTTTGATCCCTAGCACCAAAATAAACAGCCAGGTACTGGTGGCTCACACCTGTAATCCTAGCAACTCAGGAGGATAAGATATGAGGATCACAGTTCAAAGCCAGCCCAGCAGGAAAGTCCTTGAGACTTTTATCTCAAATCAGCCAGAAAAAAAAAAAAAAAGGAAGTGGAGAGAGATGTTACTCAAGTGCTAGCCTTGAATGAAAGGATCCCAGGCCTGAGTTTAAGCTCCAGGACTAGCACACACACAAAAAAGAGAGACAAGAGGAAAATACTGTGCATGCATGCATGCATACGTACACACATACGTACATACATATACATACATACCATGCATATTAGGGGACATGAGTGTAAGAAATAAAGCCAAGCACTGCTGGCTCACTCCTATAATCCTGACTACTTAGGAGGCTGAGATCTAAGGATCGCAGTTCAAAGCCAGTCCAGGCAGGAAAGTCTATGAGACTCTTATCTCCAATAAACTACTCAGAAAAAGCTAGACGTGGTGCTCAAGTGATAGAGCACTAGTGTTCAACACAAAGAAACTCAGACAGTGCATAAGCCCTGGGTTCAAGCCCCAGGACCAGCCAAAACTAAACAAAAACAACAAAAAGAATGTAAGGAATGAAAGTAAGTAACTAAAAAAATTTTTTTTCTCCAAAGTCACTTGCCTGTATAAGATAAAGTTTTTAGATCAGAAAAAATTCAGACTATTAGTCAAAAGCCTTAATGATTATATAAGCATTTCCCTTTCTGGAATCAGTTGTCTTTAAATATTGAAGTGTGGCATTTAGCTTGGAATTGGAGTGACGAATGCTCATTGGGCACACTTTGTTTTAGGTCCTGTGGACTCCTCAGGTGCTGTCAAATGGGGTTCAGTTCTCCCGCATCAGTCCAGATGGTGAGGAAGGCTACCCTGGCGAGTTAAAAGTCTGGGTGACATATACCCTGGATGGTGGGGAGCTGGTGATCAACTACAGAGCACAGACTAGTCACACCACACCAGTCAATCTGACCAACCATTCTTATTTCAACCTGGCAGGCCAGGTAAGTGAGCCTGTTTCTTCTCTCCTAATGTAATTGACTGGCTTTGTGGATGATGGACCCAGTATCGTGACGGGCTGATCCCCAGGGTCATGAAAATGGCTCAATAGAAGATCTGGATTATAATAAATATACAAGAAATGGAAACTGTAAAGGAAGGTGCATTAATACATGGTGCTGCTAGAAAAAAATGACTTTCCTATATGCTTCAGATAAGTAATTATTTCAAGAACTCTCTTTCCTCTGATTACAAAGTATGCCTACACCTGCTTCCCTTCATGCACTCCTACTTTCTCTCAATTACTGCCATTCAAAGTGTCTTCCACTTTGAAGGTGCTTGCTTAGCACCTTTAAATAATGCTCTCAAAAGGTGAGATGGGGCTGGGAATGTGGCTCAGTGGTAGAGTGCTTGCCTAGCATGCATGAAGCCCTGGGTTCGATTCCTAAGTACTACATAAACAGAAAAAGCCAGAAGTGGCTCTGCAGTTCAAGTGGTAGAGTGCTAGCTTTAAGTAAAAGCAGCTCAGAGACAGTGCCCAGGCCCTGAGTTCAAGCCCCAAGACTGGCACAAAAAAATGCAATGCCTATGTGTATCTGATCAGATCAAATAATATTTATTGAAATGAATTCCAGGAAATGGGAACAAGAGGATTTTTTTTCTTTGTTACTGTTTTTGTGTTCTTTTTAGGGGGTATTGTTTGTTAATTGGTCTGTCTTTGGGAGTGTGAAGGAGGGGGACACAGAAATGGAGGAACAAAGGGTGATCAAATGCAGCACTGGCACTCACTAGACACTGTATTGAAAACCAACTATACAATTTGTGGGTGGATGTGGGAGGGAGCAATTAGGAGAGAGCAAGGGAAGGGGTGACATATACTCTTTGCCTGAGTTATGCAACTGTAACCCCTTTGTACATCACCTTCATAATAACAATAAAAATAATAATAATGCTATCAAGGTGTGTGTGCTCCCACTGAGCAGCCCACCAGCTCCTCCCAGGGTTTCTGGTAGCTAGTACTACCTTGTACAGTTTGTGACAGTGGAAAGAGCACTAGACTTGAATCTAGAAGAGCTGGAGCTGGTTATAGCTGTTCCAAGCCTATAATCCTACCTGCTCAGGAAGCTGAGATCTGAGGATCATGATTTGAAGCCATCCTGGGCAGAAAAGTCCATGAGACTCTTATCTCCAATTAATCAGCAAAAAATAAGATGTAGAGATGTGGCTCAAGGAGTAGAGCAAGAGCACTGAAGTGAAAAAGCTAAGCAAGAACGTGAGGCCCTAAGTTCAAGATCCAGTATTGGCAGAAAAATAATAAATAAGTAGAAGAGCTGAGATTTTTGGATTAGTAGATGTGTTCTCTCAATTCCACAATAATAGGTATTATTTATCAGCCACTGTTAGAAGTACTTTACGAAGGTATTAATAAAAGCATTGAAAGAAGCCAAGACAAGGATAAACCTCAATGAAAGAGCCCTTAAAATGTCTACCTAAGGGTGACATAGAGTCACTGACAACTTCAGTGATCCGCTCTAAGTCATTTTATTCCCTCTTAATGGGAACCTTAGTGGGTTGAGGAGGTTCTCACATGAGACATTGAAAAGCTCAGCCAGGGCTGGGAATGTGGTTTAGCAGTAGGGTGCTTGCCTAGCATGCATGAATCCCTGGGTTCAGTTCCTCAGTGCCATGTAAACAGAAAAAGCCAGAAGTGGCACTGTGGCTTAAGTGTGGTAGAGTACTAGCCTTGAGAAAAAAGAAGCTCAGGGACATTGCTCAAGCCCTGAGTTCAAGGCCCCCTCCAAAAAAAAGAAAAGAAAAGAAAAGAAAGAACAGGCTCAATCAAACTCTGAGGGTTTTATCTTTATTACTCCCTCTGTTTTTCCTTCTTTGTGTGTGTGTGTGTGTGTGTGTGTGAGAGAGAGAGAGAGAGACAGTAGTGGAGCTTGAACTCAGGGCCCAGGCCTTAACTCTTTCACTCAAGGCTGGCATTCTACCACAGGAGGCATAGCTGTACTTCCAGATTTTTTTTTTTTGGGTCCAGTCGTGGGGCCTGAACTCTGGGCCTGGGCGCTGTCCCTCAGTTCTTCAGCTCAAGGCTAGCGCTCTACCACTTGAGCCACAGCACCACTTCTGGCTTTTTTCTTTTTGCTTATGTGGTGCTGAGGAA